TTGTTACTTTCATTTTGCGATTCTGTAACGGTTTCATTAGAAATGTCTCTATTTGCATTGTCCGAATTTTCCAACTCTTTCAACTTTTTCTTTCCTCTAAACTGCCACACTTGAATTTTCTCTTCATATTCCAAAGCGGATGAGATTTCAAGTTCAAATTCGTCTTCTTCGACTTTTAATTCTCGTTCTATTTCAGCGTCTAAATTGCTCAAGGATTTTGATTTTTCGTTTAACTGGTCTAAAATTTCTTCTAATACATTTATTTACATTTATACTACTATCATCTTTATTCAGTTCGGTTTCAATTTTCTTTAATATCTTGGACACTCCGGTCCTCAATACCTTTCGTTTCGATTTCAGTTTAGCAATAAGATCTTCCATATTATATAAAAATAGAAAATACAGGCTTACCTTGGCTGTCTTCGCATAAATGATATCCAAAATTAAAAAACACAAACTTCTAAATTGGCCAAAGGTTCTCGGCACCGATGCACCATATTGCGAAAGGTGGTTCTAATTCTAAATGAAGTGAAATACTTCAACAATCTACAAAAATAATCATTTTATTTACAAAGCAACTTTCGTTGCATCGAAGGTTCACTGCTAACTAACTATGTCGCAAACTAAAAACTAACATTCCTTTTCAGAAGCGAAGCGCCCTCTAACGGCGATACATAAATCATTTGGGGGATTTTTCCACACATACTGAACCCCACACATCTGTGTCACTTGATGAAAATCTATTGAAACTTGTTTGGGAAGTGATGTTATATATATAACCCTAACCTTGCAACCTCAGATTACCATTTATTTTGATCTTTGCAAAACAATGGTAAAACTCTCACCCATAGTGATGCTTTTTTTCTTGTGTGTGTGTGTGTGTGTCAATAAAAGATCAGGAGTTCCTGAATTATGAAATTACCAAAAAAATGGCAAGAGATCATTAAAAAAATGGAAAATATATTGCTGAATGAAGTTCATTCTTTGTATTAAAGAAATGAGCTTTATTTTACACTAAAACTTGAAACTACTTAGTGAATTATCGAATATTATTGCGATTATTATTAATATTTCCAGCAATGGAATCATCTTATTCTTGAAATGATATTTTGTAGAATAACTGAGTCTACAAAAGTCCTGTGTAATAGTTTCCAGTATACCATCACTTGCCACTGGTAACATAGAGGGGGTTGAACAAAAATATGGAAACATTGAAACAAGAAACATGTTTGCTGAGACTAATACAACGTATGAAAACCACTGGCATTCAAAAATGGCTTGCAATCTCCTCGGAATGGGTAGAGGTTGTGTATGCTTTGCAGGAGAATCTTGTACCATTCTACTGTAAAACGATGGTAAGATCTGTTAACGATGATGGTGGCGGATAGTGCTTATACAGATTTCTCTCCAAAATAGCCTACAAAGGTTCAATAATGTTGATATCTGGTGACTTTGGTGGCCATGGTAGATACGAACATTCACATTCATTCTCAGAAAACCAGTCCTGGATGATGTGAGCTGAGTGAACAGGAGCTCTCTCATCTTGGAATACGGCATTACCATTGAGTAACAAAATTTGTCCATGGGATGGACGTGATCAGCCAAAATGGTCATATCTTGGCAGTAATAGATCTTGCACAATAATGATGGATCCCATGGAATACCATGATATGGCTGTCCAAACTATGACCAAATCCCTCCATGTTTCAAACAGTTACTTTCATGTACTTGGAACAGCATTTTCCAGAAGTCAGAAATAGTGTGAAGCAAGACTCTTCCAACCAATAATATATAATTTGACCAAGCTCGTGAAATGCGAATGTAAAAATAAACAAGTCAGTATATAATAATAGCAATAATACTCACATGTCATTTCTTAAAAATATTTTTAAGAATCCTTAGCCTTATTATTATTATTTTATCACATGTAATTGTTTCAGTCAACTGCAGCACTTTCATACATAGTAATCTGTTTTGTTACACTATTTCATGAATATCAACTCCTTTGCCCAAAAATATATAAATTTAATAGCAGTGACAAGTAATATTATGGAACTGCTGAACCAATTTTTAACATGGAGACCCTTCTTTTTGCAATTTTTAATAATGCACCTCCAAATGGTTTCATTGTTAACATAAAGTTTCATGTTGTAGCCATTTTTCCATACTCATTTGTCTGGTAAAGACCTCTTCCTTAAAAAAATTATATGACATCCATCTCATTACTTGGTAAATTAAGAATTATTAACATCATATTCACAAAAAGGCAATAATATGTTTTTTTAATAAATAATGCAAAGTTGAAAACCTCCTCAAAAATGAATAATACAAGAACACGTGACAAGAGCAATGATGCAGCATAGTGCTAATATGGATTAGGTAGCGAAGTATAAGAATACACAGCCAGTGCCGATATACGATCACGTGCTGTTGTATAAGAAAGAATATGCAGCCAGATTTTGACAAGATATTTCAGTTGATTGGCAATTCAATCTCGTGGGCCACTATGAAAGCGTTATCACATTAGCTGTTTGTTGCCGGAACAAAATGTTTGCAGTAACAGTTCTGAGAAACGGCCTTTGGCGAAATAGGGTTACCATCTTCACTTGGTAAACAGGCTAAAAGCCAAACAAGAATTATTTATCGCTCAGATTGGTGAAAGTGGCATTTCCTTTCAAGTGACATTCGCTTCTTCGTGTTGTTTTGTATCGCTCACATGCTTTTCGTTTTAAACTTTATTGTTAGTAATGGAAGATAATAGAAAGGTGATTGCTATCAAGATAATCACTTTGATCTCCACTCTGGCACTTCAAGTAACAGATAAACACACTTCTGGTTATAGTAATCAATTACATCAGTAATAGCCAAATTCTATATACACTAAAAATAGTTTAAACGTGCGCTGGATAAGTCTATTTATCAGACATTATCTATGTGTATTTTCTGTTGTCTGCATTGCAATGAAAATTTGATGGCTTACTGGAAAATTTGTGACCTGGTGACCACCTTCTGACCTTGACTAACTTTATGGCTCATAATTACTGTTCTGTCCATTCAAACAAACAGACAAAAAAAAAAAAAAAAAAAAGAAAGAAAAGAAAAAAAAAAAAAAAAAGGACCTTTTATGACAAAAGTCTATATGGCTGATATTTACATCCTCACAGCCAGCAGATACTATCCAGCAAAATGAAGATCAAATAAAGCACATGAATACATGAGCAATCAAACATGTGCGAGTTGTTTACTGCCCATAGAACACTTGGTAATACACCTAAAACACATTAATTATACCAACTCTAGAAATTAGGTGGTGCACATCATGAGTTTGTTTTATGTGATTATGGCAAAGCCTCGAGGGATATCTGCCTAACAGGAGGATCCCTTTGTTGAAGATTTTTTTTAAAACTGGCTCGTATACCAGTTACAAATGGGGCAAACCAAGGAAACGTCATGTAGCCAGCCCGTTCGTGGCATTCTAACCTGAGACAGAACTACCAGTGTTCAATGACGCTTCGGCCACTAGTAGGCCCGTGCAATTCATTATGTAAACAGACATGAAGGTGATAATCAGTTGTGCACTGTTTTAAGTAATCAAATGTTATAAATGCACAGCTATTACATTTCTTATTATTTATTAGTCATGTTTTTATTACGTAGATCATACGTATGATATAATTATCAATTAACCCAATAACAAAATGTGTACACTCTTTAGTACTCAAATACTCATCAATTATTTTTCAACTGATTATTACATACCCATAATAATTTGCAAAGAACTGATAACTATAGTTGCTGCCAATTACATAATCGTTATCTGAATTAAAAGCAACTTCAAATAAACTTCTTGGCAATGTTCATTTTTGTATTCATACATACATATACACATCTAATAAGTCATATATTTACATACAGATAGAGAGATGCGATGGTTTAGAAGTTGTTAATATATATTTATTAGTATTAATGTAATGAATAAGATTTATATTAATGAAGGTATATACAAATGTTTTTCATCATGAATAATAATAAATCCATAAATTTCCAATGTTTCAATATGTAGCATTTACAATAAAAGTATAGTTTCTAATCTATTTATAATTCAAAAATTATTTCATTAATAACATGAAAATAATAGACAAATTTAATGAGTATTCTCATTATTACATAAGCTATGCTTTTCTTTTTTTTATGCATCTTTTATGCTGTTTAAAATGTGTCACTGATTATGCAATTAAGAATTTAAAAGATAAGTAATTAGGAGAAAAGCCGTGCATATACAAACGGATTTTAAAAAATTATTCAACTTAAATTTAAGAATTAAAATTCTTTTATATAACAGTGATAATACACGATCAGCACGAAATACGACAAATTTGGCTAACTTTTGACGACGAACAATTTGTAAACAAATTCGAACTGCAAGAACGTCGTAAAATACTGTCAACTCTGAAATTTCCACGATTATATATTTAATGAATGTATACACATTTAAAAAATGACTCAGGCAGTTGTATTACAACAAAACAGCAATAATTAAATCGGCCTCTATTTCCACCGTCCATCACTTCACAGTGAGAGCCATCGCCATATTGAAAGTTACCCGTGATCCTTCAGAAGCAGAACTTTCGTCTGATTGGTTGAACGTTCGAGGAACACGTCTCCAGCCGGAACATTTTCGGACAAATTTTAAAATGTTGCTCGTAGCCGGGACAGGTTCCTCCTAGCTAGACGAAACATTTCTCGGAAGCCTGCCGCTTAAAGCCGTGCTACTATAATCTCGTTTCTCGGAATTGTCCCGGGTAAGCGTGCGCGTCCATAGAAGTGATAGGGCCATAACAAAGAAGTTTCAAACATGTTTTGGGTTATTGTTATTCTATGCAATGTATTAACATCCATATAGAGTCAAGTGTGCTTAATATTTTGTGTTTATATTCATTAATTTTATATTGCATAATGTGTCTATTTCTTGATTTTCTTGTATTATATTTTCTTTCCAGATCACTACCCATTGCACACTTATTTCACACATTATGGCAGTTATTTTACTATTCCTCTTAGCTATTACAATTAAATTGTCATCGCAATGTTTTGTATCAGATAATATTGAATGCTCTTGTTTAAATGATTCAGTTACATGCTCTGGCATTCAAAAAGAAACTTCAGAATTACAATCATTGCTTTATAATATTTCTTTGGCATACTCTGGGCAATTGGAAACTCTTATGCTGTCTATAGAAAATTTAACAGAGTCTGAACTTATATTTATTAATGTTAGCATTACAAATTTAACTTTGGGTTACGGGCTAAGGTATTTGCGTAGTGACCTTTTTCATGGTTTAGAATCCTCATTGATTAGTTTAAATCTGGAACATAACAACATTGAGAGTGTCGATAATAAACCTTTCTTTTTTCTGAATAACTTAACTAAACTTATTTTAGACTTCAATGAACTTTCTGAAATAGAAGTCGATGCTTTTGCTAATCTAGATAAACTAGAATATTTGAGTATTTCTGGTAACCAGTTGAGTGGACTTCATGAAAATGTGCTGCAGAATTTGTCCTCTTTGGAGACTTTAATCTTGAATGATAACAACATTTCTTCTTTTAATAATATGAGTATTGAATCTCTTTTTTTGAAAACATTATTTATGCGGAATTCTTCCATCTATGGAGTCTTAGACACATATTCATTATTTGGAGTTCCAAAGTTAGAAAATCTAGATCTTAGTTTTAATAGAATTAAATTTGTGAATTCTTTTGCTTTGTCTGCCCTTGATAATTTAAAAGTATTAAACTTAAGTTACAATATTATAGAACGTCTTGAAGAGAATGCTTTTTTCAATTTAAGTAACTTAATAAATTTAGACTTAAAATACAACAAAATAAAAGTAGTTAAGCCTGGAGCATTTTTAAACCTTAAGAAGTTACAAATTTTAGATTTAAGTGGCAATTTGATAGCTGCCATGGTATGTGAATATACAGTTCATATGGTGTCAGTAAAAATAGTACATCTGGAGAATAATCTTATAAAAACTATAATTCCTGGCACATTTGCTTACAGTCCGGATCTGGAACAACTCCATTTACAAGGTAAGGCATTCATTTAAGTTATATTATATTTTGCTCTGAGTTATGATATTATTAAAATGTGCCTGATTACAAGTGAATAGATTATAATCTGTTAACATGTTCTAAATTTAAATTATTTATTATCTATATGAGGTTAAATATATTTAAATTAAAGTTTTGTTTCATGAAAACATTTAAACTGTCTTTTTCATTGATAGAACTCTTGTTTATGACTATTTAAAAATAATTATATTATTATGTAAACTAATTTGTGTACAAATAAATCAGATTTATCAATAGACATTTGCATTCAAAATTTAGAGAACAAACACTCCTCCAAAAACGCCTGATAACAGAAACATGTTTCCATGTTTTATGGTAATTTAATTTATTTAAATATGATATGGTTACATAGTAGCTAATCTGATTTTTTTTCCAACACATTCTTTTTTTATTGCTTAACCTGAAAATTACTCTTAATTTTCTCTGTCAAAATTTCTTTAAAAATTTCTTTTCTAAAATCTTTCGGGAAACTAGAAATATTGATAGTTGAAATTTTAGATAAACATGTAATACATAAATTATTAGCTAACCAAATTTTTGTCAGTTGCTTGCCTTGAATAAATGACCCTCCCAGGAAGATTTTAAGTGCAGTTTTTTTTAACATTATTACCAATTTATTTGTTTTTAAGAAAAAAAAAATTGAGTGTTGGTTGTTATACCATTTGATTCCCAGACTTAGCAAAGCATTAGAAACTGAATAAAGTTCCTGAAAAGCTTTCTGAGTAACATCATGCCAAAGGAAATAAATTTTGAATGTGTCTATGCAGAACATTGTATTTTGGAAAAAAAAAAAAAAAAAGTTAGAATTCATTCATTATGTCCTTCTTCATGCCTGTTACTGAAATGTTTATCCAGAAGTCTGTTTTCTATTATTTCTTTAACTGTGTCCGTGTTATTAGATTAGTGTTGTAATTTATATATTCCTCAGAAATTATGCCTGTTTGTTCTGTTCCATTTTCATCAACTTTCCCTCTCAATAGTTTTGCTTAGTTATGGATTTGAAAGCCTTCTTTTGATAGAGAGTTTTCAGTTATTAAAGGTGATCGGTTTCTTTATTGCTTAAGATGTCTTCGGTTGTTATGTGTACTTTTTAATATAGTAATGCTTAAACCAGTCCTCATGTTTAGCTGAAATATCTGACATCATTTCAGGACTACTTATGACATGCAATGAGATGATGTAAATTAAATTAATGCAGGCATCTGTCTGAAAGATGAGCATCCTTCCCATTCACATTCATCACTATTTCTTTTCCTCTCTCTGTTAGAATAGAACCATTTACTGAAATATTTGATTGTGATATTTAATAATATACTTCTGCAAAACGTCTTCACTCATAGTCAGATTTTCACCATGGATTTTTACTTCTTTGAAGTGGACTAGCTGTTAGCTCCTGCTGTTTCTGTAAAAAATAATTGCTTTTATTGTTCATGCAGAAATATTCTTCCTGAAGAATAAAGATAGCAAAATCAGCTTACCTTTTGTGCACTCAGTAGCAGCAGTTGAGTCTCCGAAACTTTATTGATGATGATATGAGGGATTTATCCATAAATAATACGATGCAGATTTAAACACAAATAACATATTTATTCTACTGCAACTAAAATAATATAAGCGATAGATACATTACTGTTAATACAAGCACAAACAGAAGCTTAATAATAATTAAAGAACAAAAGGATCATGGGATAAATTAATATCACGTGATTAACATAGTTGATGTGTTTGACACCTGTGTGTCTTGGCATTTTTTAGGGTTTCCAGAAGTGAGTTAGAAAAACATTTTATTTATGTATTCTCAAATGCCTGATTAATTTACAATTCCCCTTTAATCACGTATTTGGGAAATATTGGAAATCATATTTAGCTCACTTCTTAATTTCAGAAATTTTGGTTTGGGCAATGGCTTAGTAAAAATATCTGCAATTATAGAATTTGTATTGCAGTAAGTTATCTCGATTATTTTATTTTCTCCCATTTCTCGTGAAAAGAAATATTTAACATTAATATCCTTTAGCCTGGTATTCATTTTCCCCTGTTTTTTAAGAGCTATTGTGGACTTATTGCTCTCAAATATCTTAATGGGTAGTTTTTGAGGTATTCCAAAATCTTTAAGGAGATCTAATATCCATTTGAGCTCTTGAGCAGCAGTGGCTGCAGAAATAAGCTCGAATTTGGTAGATGATAGGGAAATACAATTTTGTCTCTTTGTGGACCAAAATATTGGACTGTTTCCTAAGAAAAATAAATTTCCACCTGTTGATCATCTGGTGGTTAAGTCATATGCATAGTCAGCATCCGTATAACAGGAAAGTGTTGGTTTTCAGGCAACGACCTTCGTAGAGTTGAGGTATTCAATCAGCCTTAGAACTGCTTTCCAGTCCTTCTCATTTGAAGGTTCATTTTTCCTGCTTAACAAATTCTCTGCAAGAGTAATGTGCATTCTGTTTACAGTGGCTATGTATAATAAGGCTCCAATGGCTTGCCTGTGCTTGGTATTGTCCACTGGTGGAGAGATATCCTCTTCCTTTGGATAAGAAGTATCCATTGGTGTGTAAGCTGGTTTGTGAATATCTGGACAAAATATCTTCTTCAATTTTTCTATTTTTGATTTTTGACTCGATAGAAACTTGTTTTCATCTCTTTTGATGTTGATTTTTAAGTAGTTTCTGATTTCTCCTAAATCTTTTGCTTCGAAGAATTCATTGAGAAATTTGATTAGCCTTTTGATTTTTTTTTTCCTTCACTTTTACATGCTATAAGAATATGATCAACATAGGCAATAATCATTATCGTATCATTTCCATCTTTCTTTAGAAATAAGCATGGGTCTGTCGTACTTTGCAAAAAGTTACTATTCTGTAATACTTCTTCAACTTTTTATTCCATGCTGTAGCAGCTTGCTTTAATCCATAAATAGCTTTTTTTAGTTTGCAAAACTTTTCTTCTTGTCTGGGTTGAACTGTATCTTCTGGCTGTTCCATGTATATATCTTCTAAATTTCTATGCAGAAATGCTGTAGTAATACCTACATGCCTCACATGCATTTTACCTTATGCTGCGACAGCAGGAAAAGTTCTGATAGTTGTATGTTGAACTACTGGTGCGAAGGTATGATCGTAATCAGTTCCAAATTTTTTACTATAACCTTTAGCAATTAGTTGCGCCTTATAACAGATGATTGTTCCATCTTCGTTTTCTTTCAGATAGAAAAATCCATCGACAGCCAATAGGTTTCTTTCCTACAGGAAGCTCAACCAGTTCCCAAGTTTTACTTTGGGATAAGGAATTGATTTCTTCGTCAACTGCGTGTATCCATTTTCCCTTTTCTTCGGAATTCAATTTATCTAAGTCTTTAAAATTCTCTGGTATGGTTTTGATTGTGTTTGTTAAAAATTCTGGACGTTCTGGTGGTATTCATTCCCTTTGTTTTCCTTTCTCTGATTGTCTTTTTTCTTCTTTAGATACAATTTTGTGTTTTTCGTCAGTTTCTTCGTCATTTTCAATGTCTCCAACCTTTGGATGGAGAGAAATTTCAATATTTTCATTCACTGGTAATTCTTCAACAAATTTACTGATAATTATACGCTTTTCAGCTGCGTATATTCTGTACTCCTTTGATCGTTGATCAGAACTGACAAAAATTCCTTCAATTGCTTTCTTAATTTTTTACGGTTTTCCTTATGTACATATGCATAGGCTATACAACCAAATTGTTTCATATGAGCTAAATTAGGTTTCCTTCCACTCCATAATTCATAAGGAGTCATCACAAGCTCTGTTTGGAAGGCGGTTCTGGATGTAATTTGCTGTGTTGACAGCTTCACCCCAGAATTTGTCTGAAAGTCGGCCTTGGGACAGCAGGCACTTGGGCATCTCAGTAAGACTTCTATTTTTTCTTTCGCTCACACTGTTCTGAGAACGCAAAAAGGGAAGAGTTAGTTGATGTTTGATGCTGTTATCTGATAGAAATTCCTCCATTTCCTTTCTGGTACTGTCTGTCTACGAAAAGAACATGGCGGTCGGTATAGCAACAGGGCTAGTATATTTCAGAGAGGGGCAAAGCAAGAGTTGCTTTATTGTTATTTTGTTTTTGGCGACTTTTGGCTGAGGGGAAACTGGTTTATCATTCGTCTTCAAACACCCCTACGGAAAATAGGTCAAGGCTCGTTTCTACGGCAACAGACAGCTGCAGACTAACTGGCGAGAGCTTTTCTTATGATAGACAGATATTCATCACCATTATCGGTTCAAAGAGTCTGTATGGTTATCCCAAATTTATTTCTTGTTATACCAACAAAGTCCTTTCATTTACTAAGAACTTCATTCTTTTTAGGGAATAAATAGATGACAGTGTATCTAGTAAAGTCATCATTAAAGGTTATGAAATAAAGTTTTCCACCAATATTTGGAGTAGGCATAGGCCCACAAATGTCACTATGTATAAGTTCTAGTGGTTTTCTTGCTCGATTGCTAGCAGCTTTTGGATAAGGAATTTGCTGCATTTTATCCTTTATGCATTCTGAACAGCTTTCATTATGAGGGCAATTATCTAATTTTATTCCTTCTGTGAGATTTTCACTTACTAATTGTCTGATTGCATCATAACTTCGGTGACCTAACCTAGAATGCCATATTTGTATACAGTTTTTATTTTTACATTCAACTGCAAAATTAGCGCTTTCTGAATTTTTTATTAAAACAATTTTATATAAACTATTATCATCAGAATATGCACGCATAATTGTTTTGCTATCCTTCTTGATGTAACACTTTTTTCCCCCCGAAAGTAACAGAATATCCCTTACTAGCAATTTGCTTAACAGAAATTAAGTTGCTCTTTAAATCAGGAACGTAATAAACATCAGTCAACCAAATTTTCTGTAATCCGCATTCATCTTCTAAATAAAGATCAACAAATCCTTTGCCCTGTGAATATAAAATTTTCCATCTGCTAAAATGATTTTTGCTTGAGAATCCTCATATATCAGTTCTGTGAACAAACTTTTATCTCCTATTAGATGACTACTGGCACCGGAATCCACGTACAAAATCTTTTCATTTATATTTTGTTCTGAGCAATAGCATGGAGTAATTACTAAACCCTTTTCATAAACCATTTTTACAGATGACAATTGACAGCTGAATTCATAGCGAACGGAAGTGTCTGTACTCATACAATGCTAGTTCGATTTTCCAACATGTTTGGTCACGCAATTTTCGGATTTTTAGTTGTCAGGACAAAAATTGTTATTTTTGTTTTTCAGTTTATAACAACAATCACAAGTATGACTATTGTGTTTACAAAAGGTACAAAATTTCTTTTGTCTATTATTATCATAATTTCTTGCATTTATTGCAGGTTTAAATGTGGTTGAAGAATTAGAACTTCGATCTGCTTGTTGTTCTAATCTTCTGTTGTACTCGTCAGTGAGTTTCGTTTTTACAAGATCTGTAGTTACAAGAATTTCCTCTCTAGGTTCAGTGGCAGTTATAAGATTATTGTATGATTCGGGAATCGAAACTAACAAAAGTGCGGCTATATGCTGATCTGTAAGCTTTCAATCTTTCGACCAAGTCCATCATATGAGTGATGTGTGTGATCATATCACTGTGTTCTGCCATTTTTATTGAATATAATTTTCTCAAAAGATAAAATTCGCTGCTCAAATTTGAGCGCTTGTGAACTGACTTTAATTTCTTCCATGTTCCGGCGGTAGTCGTTTCATCTCTAGCGTGAATAATCAGAGTCATCAATGCATAGATTTTTTATAGCTCATGCTTGTTTATCCCTCTTTAAAAATTCATCATCAGGTTTAGAAGGTGGGGAAGAATAAAGAAGATCATCTAACCCATCAGACATTAAAAGCATTTGAATCTTGAATTTCCAATTAGAGTAATTTTCGGAATTCAGTTTCGTTATTTGCTTACAATCTTTAAGACTTGACTGTGCCATTATTAATTCTTATTTAGCAGTTTCAGAAAGTTTATATATTATATGCACAGTATAAATTTTAGTTTCGGGATTTACAACAATATCAATCTCAATAATCAATGAAGAATAAAGATAGCAAAATCAGCTTAAATTTGTGCACTCAGTAGCAGCAGTTGAGTCTCTGAAACTTTATTGATGATGATATGAGGGATTTATCCATAAATAATATGATGCAGATTTAAATACAAATACAGTCAAATGTCTTTAATCCGGACTCGTCGGGACTGCGGCGATTCCGGATTATAGATCATCAGTTTAAATCTGGTAAGATGGCATGCAGAAATTATAAAATTAAAAATATGAAACCGTAATTTATAAAATAATGAGCAATTATGATCTAAAGGGTATCAAAATTTACAAAAAAGAAGCTTAATATTTATTTGTTTACTTTATTAAACATTTCTTTCAATGCGCGCATGCGTAAAGCATACATTACGCATAGCCGAAATTAGAAAATTGCAATCAGAAAACTATTTGATTTGTATTCGTGAAATTTATAATGACGAGGAATTTGATTTAAATCATATCAAAGACGGAGTACATCGAGATAAAATACTACATTTAGTAAGGAATTATAGGCTGAATAAAATAAAAACATCTGCCCTGAAGATAACGATAGTGCTGACAGATCAACTTCCAGGTCATTGCGCGCCGCGACGTCCCCCCTCCCCCGCGCAGAGCTGTGTGAAATTGATAAACGGATTTCAGAACGGTTAGATAAACAAAGGATATGCCTTTATCCATTTTTTGTAGCAATTCCACTTTTTGTTTGATGGACATCGAAACATACTTTCCTTTGGGATCCTTTGGGAGCTCCAGCATCGGAAATTCTATTTGACATAATCGAAAGTTCAAGCTTACTTTTATAAAATTGCTCTTACAGTCTGCAAAAAATAATAAGCCGGATCCAATTCGAAGATTAAGGAACAACACAATCACCAACATTAACTGAAATAGATAATTAGATAATTTTAGCTTATACCATCCGTTATACATTAAACGCGCACACGAAAACATATTCTGCGCTTGCGCAGACACATATGCACAGTCGCAAAGGTCTTGCGCGCACGCGTAAACGTCTATGCGCATGCGCAGAAAGATTTCAACTTTGAGGTCCGGATTATGGGTGTCCGAATTAACGACTTTGACTGTAACATATTTATTCTACTGCAACTAAAATAATATAAGCGATAGATACATTACTGTGAATACAAGCACACACAGAAGCTTAATAATAACTAAAGAATAAAAGGATCATGGGATAAATTAATATCACGTGATTAACATAGTTGATGTGTTTGACACCTGTGTGTCTTGGCATTTTTTAGGGTTTCCAGAAGTGAGTTAGAAAAACATTTTATTTATGTATTCTCAAATGCCTGATTAATTTACAACACTCCCCCCTTTCTCCCAAAATATTGTTTTTGAGAGTTCTTTTTGTTTTATAGACATTTTAGGAATAAGTTCAGCTTAATGAAGAATGTAAAAGCTTAACTATAATTAGTGATTATAGTTACATTTCCAGTCAATAAATATAGGGTGAACAAGTACCATTTTCTGATCTGTCCTTCTAAAGAGCCCCCTTCTGTACATTAAATGGATTTCAACTCTGCACCAATCTGAGATATCTCACATCTTCATCACCCCACTCATATCACTTTATATCCCTTTGCATATGGAAGTTGTTTCCAGAGAAATTATTTGAGTTACAGAAAGATGTGTCCATGGTGTAAAGCTGGCAAAAATCAATATACAACTAAAATTATTTGTTGCATAAGTGAGAAATATGTAAATGCTGCTGTATTGTAATTTTTTTTATAGTGTGTGTATGTTTTTTTCAATAGCAGTGGTTAAACCTAAGATAGCTGTTGGCTATTATAACCACATTGGGACAGCTGCTGATTAAAGGTCCTTATGCTAATGCTGGATGAAGTGCCTGCATTAAATCCTGTTGACATCTGATGCAAAGTTGCACTTCTTGCCATCAGTATGATAGAACTCATTCTCTTAGCACTTCATGCACCAATTACTGGTTTACAATCACATTTTACACAATTTACTCTGCTTTTCCGATTTTTAAGGTACTGTTGGTTCCCCTTATCACAATACTGTGCATTGTACCCAGCTAGTGAGTGGTTGCTGATATCAAGCATGCAGCCTAGTGAGTGCTGAGAATTTGTGCATGATCAAACTCGTGCAGATCATTACCTTTAACTATCATAAAAATCTTTTAAGTACCTATCAAAGCTCTGATATTCGTATTAATGGCATCGATGACAGCCGTTGGCTCACTAGCTATTGGTTTTCATTTTGCCTAGCCCACCAGCAATTGAGCAGTGAAGTCACTGAACACTGGTAATTTGGGCCGGGGTTTGAATCCCAGTGAACATCTTGCTGCATGGCTGTTTCATGGTTTTATCCATTGGAAGATCCTTCAGAGAGGCATCCCTACTTTTAAGCAGATAGCTCTTGAGTCCTTTGCCATAATTAAATAAGCCAAGCCATTGTGCTTGTTTAGAGTCACATTGCAGGTGAATATAAAAATTTGTTTCTCAGAACTTTTTTTTTTTTTTTTTTTTTTTTTTTTTTTTTAGGGGAGGAGGCAGAGATAATATTTGCAGTTTTTAAATTGTCTAAAATATAAAAAGATTTTTTTAACTAAAAAATATGTTTTAAGAACTAAATATTTTCTCGTTTTAGGTAATGTTTTAGAATGCTCATGTGATGTACATGTTTTTGCATTGTATATCCAGAAAAATTCTTCTGTCAGTGAAGAAGATGTCCATTCTATCACATGTACATCTCCGTATAATGATACAGTTCTGGCAGTAGAATATGATGCCATGGGGCCATGTGAACACCCAGAGTTCTGTGAAGATCAGATTTGGAATGAAGAAGAAGATGACGATTATGATGGTACTGACAACAAATTGCTAAATGATACTGAAGTTCCTTCAAATGCTTCAATAAATTTATTAGATACAGGATTGCATGAGAAAAATGAATCTGTGTCAGATTTTAATTCATCTCATTCTTCTTCAAGTGCAATATATCATGTTGGAAATGGAAGTACTTATATTGAAAATAATACTGCAACTTCATATTTAAATACAGAAACTCCTTCACCTTTAACTGAATCCTCTGACTCATCAAATTTTGAGCAAATTAATAGCACTGCTGTTTCTGTAAACACTGAACCTATTGTGATGAAGACTGCAGAATCAAACGTAACAGATTCATCTTCGTCATTACATGATAGTTCTGGCCAATTTAATAGCACTACTGTTTCTGTTAACACAGAGCCCATTGTGATGAAGACTGCAGAATCAAATGTAACAGATTCATCTTTGTCAGTAGCTAATAGTTCTGGTCAATTTAATAGCACTACTGTTTCTGCGAACACAGGATCTATTATGATGAAGACTGCAAAATCAAATGTAACAGATTCATCTTTGACATTAGATGATAGTTCTGACCAATTTAATGGAACTGTTGCTTTAACAGACATTAAATCTATTGTGATGAAGACTACAGAATCAAATATTTTTGGCTCTACAAATGCAACAGACTCATCTCTGTCACCATATAACAGTTTTAAAAAACTTAACAGCACTACTACTTCAGTGATGGTGAGTGAAGAACTGAATGTTTCAAGTTCTGTGAATACAACCGATTCATATGTGTCATCAAATGGTAGTTTCGATCAAGTTAACACCACTACTGTTTCAACATACACAAAGCCCATTGTAACAGAGAGTTCAGAATCAAAGAGTTTAATGTCTGTGACTGAATCATTTATATCATCAAATGACAGTATAAGCTCAACTATTTTTTCTTCTGTTGCTACTGAGAATATAGCAGAGCATACTGAAGTTGTCATAAAAAAGAGTACAGAATCATATGAATCAAGTTCTGTAAATACAGTAGCATCAATTTCTTTATCAAAAAGCAGCTTAGCTACTTCCACTACTGACGATTCAAAAATAATAATAAAGCTTTTAAATTCCACACATGAAAACAAGCTGTTTTGCTTCAAATGGAATGTAGAAGGAAAACTGCCTGATGAAATCACATGCAGTGTTCGCTATACTAATGATGTTAAAGCTAAGGCAACACGTATTATTTGTTCTGAAGCCAAAAAAGAACTGCAGAAGTGCTTGAAAGTTGATGAATTGTATGAGATTTGCTTAATAATACGTGGTGGTGATAGTAAAATGGTAGGTAAACATTGTGAGAATATGTCTGGAACTCTAAGTTTTGGAAGCACAGAAATTTCAGATAGCACACCATCTGTATCTGGCAGAAAAGCCTCTACTTCAGAGATGTACATAACAGGAAAAAGAACTCATTCAACATTAAAAATTGCATCCACAGCATTAAAATCTACATATACTTTGCCTCCAAAAGTGTCATCACCAGGGAAAAACTTTTCACCCCCTTTCAGCATAGCAGCATTTGATGTTTACTTTGATCATTCTGATATTATAGTTGTAGTTTGGGAGGTGAGTAAATACGTACCAAAAACTTTATGTACCTTAATATTGAAAGTTGAATCCCAGTATTTCAATTACACAAAAATCGATTTGCCGTGTGAAAATAATTCATATAAAGTTCAACATGCGAAAGATCATGGATTATACCAAATCTGCCTGGGAAGTTCTCATAAAACAGAGGAAAATATGACCATATGTAAGCAACCATTAGCTCATTTTGATGAATTTGAGGCATCTGAAAATAAAGTGTCTGGATTCCAAAACTCTTCTGTAATAGCTTTGCTATGTTTGTTAGCTTTGGTTTTGTTGATAATAATGCTGATTATATTTAAAAACTTTTACAAGGGTTTTGAATCAGAAAAATATGATGTGTCTGCTGAAGAAGAAAAAGTGCAAAAAAGGCTTTCATTGTCTACATCACAGGAAGCTTCCGTACGTTATTCTTATATTACCAAAGAACAAATAATCTGAATTAATTTTTCATCTTCCAACAAGACTTGCAAACAAACAAACAAAAACCTCCAAAAAATTGAGTGTATTTATTTTGAATTTTATGTGAAAAATATATTATTTTCTTTTTTGTAAATTAATTTTACTATTCTGTTGAGGTAAAGGATTTTAATTTTATGAATACTGTATTTTTTTTTTTTTTTTTTTTTATTTTTTAACTGCTTCATAATGGTTATAAGTATGTTAATGTTTTCAGACTCTTCATTTTTCCTTCAGTGTTATGATAATTTCCTTTTAATTAGATGCAATATTTAGTATAAAATTTGGCATGTTTTCATTTGGAAATATTTGCTTCTGGCTTATATATACTTTTCCATGGATGAATTTATTTTTGCTGCATGTTGATAAATCTAAGCTTCAGAATAACATCAAGTAATTACAGTACAAACCCCAAGATTCAGAATCACCAGGACTTCAACAATTCTGGATTTTGGAAATTTTCATATTTTAGAGCATCAGTTTAAATCTGGTAAAATTATGTGTAGATATTATAAAATTAAAAATATGAGAGATTATCAATGGAGTAATGAAGCATTTGTGATTTCAAGGGAACCAAAATTTACCCCCCCCCCCAAAAAAAATTAACATTTGTTTTGTTTCTTTTTTTCAAATGAGTTGTTTAAAGAATTTTGTTTTATGCAATAATACTTTCTCTTTAATTTTTTGGTGAGACATAAATTCTTGTTCAGCTTCTAGGTTTCAGTGTTCAAGACCTGTAATTGCCATGTCAAGAATTCCTATTAAGTAATCAATTGAAATTTTTTTTATTCTCATTAATCTCTATAGCACTTCCTAATTCAGCCTGTTTTAGTGAAAATGGGGATATTTTCAGATTTTAAAACCATACTGCATGTTTTACTGATCTTAATTGATTGCTGATTGGAGCATTGTCATTGCAATAAATTTGACTTCATTAACATGACGTAAGACTTCATTAACCTCGTCTTCATTTAACTTTTCTTCACATATTTCATTAGTTTCTCCCCCCCTTTCAAAGCCACTTGGTACTCTTTTTGTTTGCCATATTTCCTCGGCTTCAGGTGACACCAAATTAGTTTAGCTTCTTTCTTGACACATCCATGCTTTTCATCTAATTCCAGTTCCCCCTCCCTCTTTTACTGAAATTGATTTTTGCGATTTGGGATTTGTCAAACTATGGAACAAGCGACCATATTATTTCTTCAAGAAAAGAATGCAAAGAAATGCTTTAAATAATTACTTCAGGAAATTAAAATGTGACTTGAAGCTGAAATGGTGATACAGTAAAATTCCAGAAATCCGCAAACCTAGGAACCAGACGTTGTGCGGATTTTAGGACAGAAAAGATGAAGCATAATATTCGGACTAAAAGTGCAAAATAAATAAGGTGTATTAGATACATTTAATTAAATTATTATATACATTTTTGCAATAATTTATTATATGTATTAAATTATTATTACATATATAAATTGATTATATTATTCATTGTATTATATGTACACAGCGTTGAGGTTTGCCGATTTCGCCTCATACAAAGATTTCCGGTTTCGGATTCCGGTGTTAGAATCACTGTTGCTGTAAAATTTCAACAGCTTTTCTTTATTTTTTGGTATATCATACACAATCGTGTAGCAATTCCATACCATTCTGCTATAAATCGAGGAGTAGCTCCTGCTTCCATTTTTTGCAGAATTTGCACTTTTTGCATTACCGTCAATGCAACGTGTTTACATTTTTCAACGTTGCAAGCAGTAAAATCATGAGTTCATTTCTTATCTGCCATTGTATTAAAAAGGGCTGAAATTAAAAATATTCTTAATTTATCCACAAAATATCCGGATAAAAAAAAGGCAGCATTAAACAATCTCGTGAAATGAAGTAACAAAGCTCAGAAAATACAATCGTGAACTTGAACAAAGAGTTGAGTGAATTATCTGCTTTTTTACCTCGATGCAGATTAGAGGGAAAAAAACTTATCTTATTTATTTTAAACTTTTTTATATCAATAATTTGGTATTTCCGTTTTGACTCATTATTATTCGGTAAGTATTTTTTTTTTCGATATTTTGTACTCAATGTTGTGATTTCCGGAACCTATAAACTGAATGTTTATATTCCGAGAGGCAACACGGATTTCAGGAGTTGGCAGATTTTCGGTATTTGACTGCATTGCCTTTCTTTTCAGCTTATGACAGATTTTGCTATCCGTTAATTGAGTGATGACTTTGGCTTTGTTATCGCAATGTGAGACTTCAATTGTATCATCTTCGTTTAGCATTTCTTCACATATTCCACTATACATATGCGCAAGCATTTTTGGAGACATCTGCTGTTCTCTGATGACCTAGCAAAGCTCTACACATTAGATTTTGTATTTTTCAAGAATTTTAGGGTGGTGTTACTACTGCACTTTTTATTAAAAAGGCTCTTTTATATCTGCATTTCAGAGCATGCAAAATTCTGGTATTGAATGGGTGATTGATTTATATAAAATTTTGAGGGAAGAGTAAAACTGAGATGCTATCTTTTGCTGAAACTTATAAAGTACTTTCTTCTCCCTTTCCGTATGTCTTCGTGTTATATGGTACTGAAAAGACACTTAACAGGAGATAAATGTTAGGGGAAAAAACATGTATATTTTAAATACATACATTTTTATTTCTTTTCAAAATGCAGTTTTGACATGATATATTTTAAAACATGGAGATAAGCAGAGTCCATTTTCACAGTCGAGACAAAAATATCTGGTTTCTTTTCTGACACATTTATCGCTGTTATTCTTTTTCGAGCTACAAACAAAGCATTGCTTCGTTTATCTCACTTTTTTTTAAAGTGTCTTGCAGTCAATAATAAGGGATTCAACAAAATTTCTGCCCAACCTTTCTTTTCATTAACTGTACTATGATTTTGATTAAGTAGTCAACTAAATCGAGTCTAAAATCCAAACCAAACAAAACCACTCCACAGTGATATATTAAAAAGATGAAAGAATATTTTTTTCCTCTCCTCTTTATGGCGGGATTATTGCTGATTTGTTGATCCATTCTGTTAATACGTCTCCACAGTATTATTGTACTCCTACTTTTGGTTTCTTTCTGACCTCATTATTGTGAAGCAGCACTTCAATCTTTTAAGAATTATGTAGAGTAGATAAAAGAGTTACAGCCTTTTTATCCATCCATTTGATGATGCATACATTTTGTCTTTGGTAAGCACCAATTATGCCTTTTTTTTTAAAGATTTTTTGTACTGTAATTCTTTTGGAACATCTCTTCTGCTAAATTTGAGTGTTTCATACATATATGTTTGTCTGCTGAGAAGATTGTTTGCCAGTTGTGGAGATGTATAGTTATTATTTGTTAGGCAGTATCCTTTTCTCAATAGTGACTATGTAAAATTCATTACCACTTGAGATGACTCACATATAAAAGATTTTATGCTCAGTTGTAATCTTTTCAATTTCTATATATTGCTTCCAATGTAATCACCCTTTGAACAGCATCAAACTCTCATTGATTGTTACATATTTTTCAGGTGTATTAATTACCAGATAGCAAGAATTAAAATGCTTGATTACAGACCAGACTTTTTTTTAATTTTGGGCACTCATATGTATCAAATTCAGCATTATTAAAAAATGTGAATGAGGTGAAAATGGCGATAAGACATAATCTTTGAAAAAATAAAAAAGGCATTGATGTTGAATATCTCTTGCTCCATACATATCTGTATTGTTCAGTATCAAGCACTGTATCTATATTGCTGAATACGAAGCGTTTTCACAGTTCCTTGTAAAATATTCAAAGCAAGAAAGACTTGAAATTTGTTTTCCAACATTTGTTATCATTTTCTTGTCCTGCTATGTCTTCTTAGATTACTGTTTCAAGTACTCTTATTTGCATATTTATTAGTTTCAGAACTATCATCCAAAAATTATATTGAGAAACTGTAGTTCCACCACTTACATCAATATTCAAATGAATAGCAGGATTCACTGTGAAAGAAAATCGTGGCGGTGGTGGAGGGAGATTACTACTACCCATTCACAAATGTTACAACCCAAGTTAGGTCGTCTGAGCTTTCTGTTACCTTACCACTAGATAATTCCAATTATCAACTTTTTTAATTACCAGAATAATTTAGAGAAATTTTTGATTTGCTATCTAATCCAGTATCAAATTATATTCTGTTATGAACCACTCACTGTCACCCCTCCTTTTATTTTGAGACAAATTGGGAAGAAATACTGTTTGCAAAGCTTAATACACTGAAGACATGCAAACAAACTTGTTCAGTTCCCTGCCTAAATGAAAAGCAGTAAAACCTGTCCTTGAACTGGTTTTACAGTCCAGTCTTTCCTGAACTACTAGAAATATCTATCAGAAACACTGCAAAGCAAAAAACTAAAAAAGCCAAGCAAATCAGTGGATTGGTGTAAGAAAAATATTCTGCCCCAAGTTGTTACATGTTAAAGGAAAATAAGTCTCCTTTGAAGGCAACTGAACAGAGTTAGGGCAAAACTGTTAAATGGGTGAAAGATGGCTTATGTTGATATTTTTTGCCTTGTATGTATCCAGTACAGAAACTTCATATGCATGTTTTTGATTTTCATCAGCATTTTTGTTTGTTAAGATTTGCATAATGTTCTATTAAATTTATTTATATAAGCAGTTCGCTTAACATGCCCATATGCTACAGAGTTCTAAAGTCATGTAACCAGTATGGGTCAGGTGGCATGTTCAACTAATTATAAACCACATTGCTGCAAAAATTGAAGGGTTGGATAAAATAATTAGATAAATCAAATATATAACTATTTTAAGAAGAATAGCATTAATGTTAACAATCATGCATATTAAATTTTCAAGTAAATAAAATGTTTCTGAAAAAATACCATTGTTAAACAGATAAATTTTTGAAATTTCAACAATTAATAAAAATATACTAATGATTATTTAATTTAAGGAAAGTGTCATTTAATTGCTGAATTCACAAGCAATTTCTTTAAACATGCATAAGTACTATAGAGTTGTAAAATCATGTAATCAGGAGGTGCGTTCAGTTATTAAAAAGCACATTCCGATAGAAAGCATTTTATTTTCAGTATTGTAGTTCATTTATAGCAAGGAGAATGCTGTCAGCTACAGGAAGCATAAGCATTTTTGATCTCTTATTGGTTTTGGTGTAATATTCTTGCTGCATCAACAGATATGTTATTTAATTTGAGTTTAATGTGGATTTCCATATGCCAGTTAATGTGATTTAGCTAATTATTTTATCTTACACTTTCAATTATTATCATATATAATGCAAATTCCGAGTGAAGATTAAATGTGATTAAAATCTTACTATATTTAAACATTAACTTATTTTTTATTCATGATAATAAAAAAAAAATCTGTCTTAATTTCATTGCTGAAAGATATTTCTTTATTTATTCAGAATTTATAATTGTTTGAATTTTTTTATATTATTCAGACTTTTTTAATTAATAAAGCAACAAAATGTGAAGCCTATTTAGTATTTATGTTTTTATCTGTCTAATCAACATTTTGAAAACACATTTCTATTAAAGGTATTTTAAAGGTTTTGTTACAAG